CATTTACAGAAACAAGCAAACAATGCTCCCTCTCTTTAAACGTCTCATCAAACGCCGTATTTCTCCCCAGGCAGACCTTCCTTGACCACTCTGGGTTTGAAGACCTTACTGTTTCCATGACTTTGTTGGTAACCCTTTGATTTGATTTTATATATAGGCCGTCCTCGGTTACGTCAGACTTGATGTATGTTCGTCGTTACGTCACCATCTCCCATTTATTTATTAAAAAAAAGTTCCGTCATTTCGATGTATGTACATATGTGCTTTATGTTTTTTATTATTTATTTACCACAAGTAAAGGTCAGGAATTGTTATCTTTCTTTTAAATTTTTTTTACTGTTTCACTTCACTACTGCTGTGTATGTGCTCCATGTGAGTGACGTAGGTGCTTACGTAGGTGGGGTCCGTTACGGTGAAAATCACATTAAGTCTCGCCCTAGGAACGGATCTCCGACGTAATCCGAGGACATAATGTATTATTATTCAAAAAGGGCAGGTAAATGGGAGGCAGTCAGATCCTATATGTCCTTGTTATAAAGTATTCTGGGTCATTTCCAATTTCTGAGCCACCATGAGCCGAGTCTTTTTGCTGTTTGTCAAGTTTTGTTTTTCTGCATCTAGTATAACATTTACATACCAGGAACAAAAGTAACAATAATAAACCAGTAACATTGATTTGGCACAGAAAATGCCTATTATTAGATAAGGAAAAGTCTAAGGCGAACGGATCTCCGACGTAACCCGAGGACCTACTGTGTGTCAAAATGGATCCTGAAGGCTCACAGGCCCCTGTGTCTCAGAGGTCTTCCCTGTTTCAAAGACAGCGCCTCGCAGGTGCCTTGCATACAGCAGCCCCCGACTCACTGAGCCAGCAGGCAGTGCTCTACCGCGTGTCAAAGGCCAGGGAGGCAGCAGATCCCACTCCGCCTCCGCGAGGTTAGTGTCTGGGAGGCCACTACTGGTGCATTTTCCCATTTAGTCCTCATAACTCGTTGAGGGGATACTACTATTATCCCCATTTTACAGACGGGTAAGGCGAGGCCTGGGAAGTCTGCACCGCTGGCTGGTGTGCTAAGACCAGGTGCTGTGTAATCCCACGGACCCGGACCTTCACCACTGGGGTCTCCTGGCCCAGCGGCCCGGCAGCCACCCTGCAGAGTGGGGTCCCTAGTTCCTGGAAGGAGCCCGGGAGAGAACGCTTCCCCTCCCCGCTCTCGGTGGGCCATGAGCAGGCTGGAGAGGGAGCAGGGTTCGTGGCTCCACAGTGTCTGCACGTTGCCCCGGGAAAGCCCGAGTGCACTCTGACCGTGGGCGCCTGGAGACAGGGCAGGCCCTTCCCTGGCAACTTCCGGAGCCCAGCCCTGCAGCAGCCCGGCAGAGACCACCGCCCCTTCGGGGACTCC